TGAGAACTGCTGCTCTAGATGAACACAAACACTCTTTTAGCTGTGGTTATCATCAGGGAAAGGAGGGTTATGAAGAAGGTATTTTCCATTTATACTCTCCTATATTACTGTTACGAGAGCAAAACACTGAAATGGTTCTGGGATTTAAACTGGAATTTAAGTATATTTTTATATTGTATGCATGGTAGGCACTAATTACTTTTTTCTCTCTTTTTTTCTGTTAAGAAGATTGGTTTTTGTGTTTTGGGGTTTTTTTTAGATTTTTTTAACATGTTTTTATTGATTTCATACAGGAAAGGAGAGGGAGAGAGAGATAGAAACATCAATGATGAGAGCTGATCAGCTGCCTCCTGCACGCCCCCTATTGGAGATCGAGCCTAAAACCTGGGCATGTGCCTGACCAGAATCTAAGCAGCAACCTTTTGGTGTATGGGATGAAGCTCAAACACTGAGCCACATCTGCCAGGCGGCACTAATTACTTTTAACAGTACCATTAATCAAAGACTGAATGATTGTGATTGATTGATTGATTGATTGGTTGGTTGGTTGATTGGAGTCTGCCATGTCCCAGGCAGGCATACTGCTGCAGCACAAGTAAAAACCGTGAGTGTGGTATTATTTTTCTTCACTAAATTGTAGCCCTTTCAGTCTTTGGTCTGGTCGCTTCAGAGGCAGACATCCACTGTCCCAACAGTATTGAAAAGTGTAATCACAGTTTCACATCCCAAACGTTTAATTCTGTATGTTAATGGAGACTGGTGTGCAGAGCAGTGACATATTTGAAACTCGATGAGTAACACCAAGTGGTTAAGTAAACCTCACTCCTCCAGTGAGTCGTTCTCCCAGCCACCCGAGACCTACTTTTAATAACCTACAGGACACAGTCTATTTACATAAACCCAAGCAAGGTTTATCAAGCTTTCTACCCTCCGCACTATCCCATTCACAGTCGTGAAGAGAAAACAAATGGAAAAAATCAATATCAACTCAACCAGGTGGCTACATCATTAGCTCTTTTAATTCTAGATCCATGGCTTGTCTGCCGAAGAGCTTGAACAGTCTTTCAATATATTATTTTATTGATTTCAGAGAGGAAGGGAGAGTGAGAGGTAGAAACATCGATGAGAAAGAATCATCCATCGGCTGCCTCCTGCACACGCCCTACGGGGGACTGAGCTTGCAATCTGGGCATATGCCCTGACTGGGAATCAAACCATGACCTCCTGGTTCATAGGTTGACACTCAACCACTGAGCCACGCCATCTGGGCACAGTCAGTCTTGTAGATGTGGTGCCACTGGACATGTGCCAAACACCGGAAGAATAGGGTGGAATAGAAATATTAAGATCTACTTTTGGAACTACCAATAAATACTAAAAACTCTTCAAGGAATAAACTCTTTCAAATGCAAAATGTATGAGAATCTACGAATCATTTATATAAGATAAACTGAACTTAATATTGATTGGTTTACAGGAAAACCAGGCTCCTGTCAAACCAAGTACACTTTTCAGTCCTTAATCAACTCAACTTCACTGATTTTTATTTGATTTGGTCAATCGCCTCTCCCTGGAACTCTGTACTTCCACGGTGTAATTTAATGGCACCCAAAGCCGCTCAGCTCCCAATTCCCAGAACCGATGAGTATGTTACAGATCGCGTGCTGCTGGTCTCAGGATGGGCATGGCCCGGCCAAGCATGTCACCTAGAAAAGGCCAGGGGCCAGGTCTCCCGAGGGCCCGTAAGGAACGCAGTCCTGCCCAGGGAGGCTGACTGAGATTTCTGACCCCAAGGACTGCGAGATAAATAAACTGACGGTGTTCTCGGCCACCAGGTAGGTGGTACTTGTAACAGCAGCCATGAAACTAATCCAGGCGGCTTCTGACTGTCCTCTCCTGCTCTCCTTTGACCTCTTGGGCCACTTCCCTGTGACCTCGTCCTCCTCCTCCCCCTGCGGCAATAGTGACACTGCTCTGCTCTCTTTACTGGACACTTATAACGAAGAGCTTAAAAAGCACAGACGTTAGAACCCATGGACCGGATTCTGCCCGTTCCACCCCTTGCTGGCTACGGGAGCTTACCAGATAAGCCAGTTTTCAGGTCTGGAAGAGTTGAGCCTACCTCTCTACTCCTCTAAGTATTCAAATGAAGTAAAATATGATTTATTAAGCTGGAGATGACAACTTGCTTGATGAAGGATCTGCTATAGATTCCTGTATGAATTCCAAGGAGAGGCTAGTGACTCATGGGGCTTCAGGACTGAGGACACAGATACCTATGGAGTCCAGAGACAGGACTGTGACAAGGACCAGCAGCATCCGCTGGTCAACTGTAATCAGACCTGCTATGTAGCCATTTGCACTTTGATAATTAAGATGGTTGTTGTAGCCCAGCCAGTATTGCTCAGTGGTTAAGCACTGACCCGTGCACCAAGAAGTCGCTGGTTGGATTCCCGGTCAGGGTACATGCCGGGGTGGCGGGCTCACGCCCCAGCAGGGGTGTGCAAGAGGCAGCCGATCAATGTTTCTCTCTCATCGATGTTTCTCTCTCTCTACTTCTCCCTTCCTCTCTCTAAAAATCAATTTAAAAATATTTTTAAAAGATGGTTGTTGTAGGGAAACAGTCTTGCTCCCAGTCTCCAGTGTCCCTCCCCCTGGCCACCCCAGGCCTTTCCAAATGAGACCATCCTAGAGCCTCTCAAGGGCCTTGCCTCCAGCATCATTGCTGACTGGGGTCCACTCTCATTAATTGATGCTTCTGCCAAACGAATTGTGAAATATTCTGAATATCATTTCTGCGTATAATCAAAACTCTGCCGTCTAAGAGAGAACCTTTCTTTGCCAAAAATATAGCATCCCTTTGAGTTATCTGACAGTGGTTTCTCCCTAACCGTTAGTAGTCTAAAAGTGAGAGTCAGCTCACTGCAGTACATTCCTTCCTGTAGCAGGTTCCTCTCCATTTTTACTAATATTTTCTAATTAGTGTCTCATGGTAGCTATGCTGGGCTTTATAAAATGATGTTCCACCCATCACATAAATTACCACCTTCTCTCTGACAGAAACTTTCTAGATGGATTGCAACTCAAAATAAAACTCAGCTAAATAAAAATATGTTGGGGAGTGCAGTCCAGAAAGTCTTATTAATAAATATTTTTAAAGCATAAATTTTAAAACAGTATTTCCAACACTTCATATATACACAGAAAATTTAGAGCTTGCCTAATTCAACTCCAGGACTCTGGGGGAATAATACATCTTTTCAAAAATTCAAATTTAGAAACAAGTGCTTAGCAATATCAAAATTAAATTTATGGCAATTTAGTTGTAAGTTGGTATCTACAAAGACAAGTGAAATGACAATGTACTTTCCTAGATGCTCATGCAAAAGAAAACTGATTTTTTTTCTTTGTAAAGACAGACTTCAGTTTCAAAACTGAGATGCATGAATAATGTTTAAATATCAGGAGGGGTTATTCCAGGTAGAAACAAACTAGTCAAATTGAGAAATATTTTTACTCCTCTACAATTTAAGCCTACTCCAAAAGCTTTCCATTAAAGAATAGGAAACATTTTTAAACTGTATATAATAATTTCAAACTTTGTTGTAACCAAAAATAAACTTGGCAAATTTAAATATACACATCTTTTTTTTTAAATATATTTTTTATTGATTTTTTTACAGAGAGGAAGGGAGAGAGATAGAGAGTTAGAAACATCAATGAGAGAGAAACATTGATCAGCTGCCTCCTGCACACCCCCCACTGGGAATGTGCCCGCAACCAAGGTACATGCCCTTGACCGGAATCGAACCTGGGACCTTTCAGTCCGCAAGCCAATGCTCTATCCACTGAGCCAAACCAGTTAGGGCAATATACACATCTTAAAATAAGCTTTTAGTCTAACATAAAATAAAAATCACTAAAAAAATAATCGTAAAAATAAAAATCTCTTCCATACTTAGTAGTATACTATAAAATTTTAAATTAATTTACAATTAATGCACAAACCAATTAAAATCCTAAACTGTATGACACTAAAAGTTTTAAAAGTAGGCTAGTGAACATATCTTACATCATAATTGATTGCTCATTTTCTGTTGAACAGTTTTTAAAACTCTTCACTTATTAAGACCTGAACAATGATTAACAACAATGGCAACACATAGACAAATAATAGTCAAAATAAATGTTCAGTTCCATGCCTGGAAATAGTGTCGTTTATTAAGCCATGTCCTGCAGTAATTACAGGACACACAAAAAACCCAAAAGTTTGACCATTCAGCCTCCTGGTTAATTCTAAACCTTAAAGAATTGACTAAGTAACCCAGACATTAGTTATAGTAACCCACAGCATGGAAAATAATTTAAATGACCAAATAAGCTTTAAAAGAACATTTCTGCACTAGGAGACTGAATAAGAATTTCAATTTGCAAAAGAAAATGATTGTTTGCAAACTACAGTCAACTAAAGCTGCATCACCATAATTTCATTGCTTAAAATATATGAGAGCCATGAAATTTTACTGGCCATAAAGAAGCTTAGAGCAAAGTACATTGTTAGAGGTTTCTGAAGATGAAATAAAGAATAACAACAAGGGGGTTAATGGAGGGGGAAAAGGGAACATATGTAATACTTCCAACAATAAAGAATAATTTTTTAAAAGATTAATGACAAATTATAATAACAGCTCTGAAGATGGAAGAAAACACACAAATGCTCAAAGAAAGATACTCTTTTAAACCAAAGACATAAGAATGAGGTTAAAAGACATGCATCATCTTGAAGTTCTATTTTTTTTTAAGTTTTTAAAGACATCACAGATCTGCTAGATCAAGATGAAAGTCAAGCTTAAGGAAATCACAAGTAAAAAGCATTGACTTATTTCAGCAAAAACAAAATCTCCAATGTCTGTGAAATAAATCATTCATATCGTGGCCAGGTTCTTTAAAAGACTGCGTATATAAAAAATACTACATATATAAATACATAAATTAAATACTTGCCCCTTCTGACTTCTCCATCGTGTTCGCCAGCATCTCCTGTAGGGCCCGGACAGAGAGGGACTGTTCCAGCACAAAGGTGCAGATGGAGAGGTCTGGGGGGACATTCTGTGTGGAAAGAGGAAAAGCAACATCATCATCACCATCTTAACCATTATCACCATCACCATCTTCACCAACAGCCCATTATCACCACCATCAATAACACCATCACCAACACCCTCACCACTACCACCACCATCACCACTAACACCAACACAACCATTACCATCATCACTACCACCATCTTCACCACTACCACCATCACCAACACCATCACCACCATCACCACCATCATGATCTCTATACCATCACCACAATTATTACCATCACCACCACCACCATCTTCATTACCATCATCGTCAAGCATCCAGACCCAATTTACCTTATACTTCAAGCTTTTTCATATAAAAAGTGAGAGTACTTATCAATCCTTTAATATGTGCTCCCAAATCATTCCATATACAGTCTATACTTAATCCATTTTTTATTTATACGTAGCAATAGCTACAATTTTAGTACCAATCTGATAGGCACTGCACTCAGAGCTTTATCAATAACTCCAGAGGTCATCTGTGGTAAGGATTATTATCATCATTGTGTGGACAAGAAAACAGAAGTTAGGTTACTTTTCCAAAGTCACAATTACTGAATTTTTCAAGCCCGGGTTAAGAAGCCACATTTCTCTAACTCTCAAGCATTCATTTCTCACCTACAAAGCAGTTAGCTGATAAAAAATTAGGACAGAAAAGTGCTTACCTCAAATTAATAATGAAGTTAAGCAAATATAAAATCGAATTGATACAAAATACTCATTTACATTGGTTTTTCCTTATCCACAAAGATAATGATTAGTTTGTTCTACTCAAGTTGGATATTATATTTGGCCTCTAACTTGGAATATTGTCATTTGCCTTCTGTTCTGTGTGTTGCTTTATTTTCTCATTCCTTTTTTCCCTTCTCCTTCCTTCCCTTAAACCTCCACTCCAACCAATAACCCAATATATGCTGAAAATCCCAAAAGGTAACTAACTACCAACTTACCTTATGGTGAAGGAAACAGGCAGGGTGAGAATTAATTGGCCAGTTAGAGGAACTATCTCCATAGGGATCAAATACGTTATTATGAGTATCTGCTTTTGCTTTAGAGAAGCAGAGTCCAGTGAGCAACCAACTGGGTATGGAAAGTAGAATTTTCATAGTAGAAGGACATTATAAATCCATTAAACACAAATTCTAGCAAGAGTGTGGCTTCATAAAAAGAGAATTAGGAGGATAAATTTGGTAACCTGATGCAATGCATCAAAATGACAATTTATAAGGTTTATTAATGTAGTCGACTGAGTGATTTTTCTCAGCAGAGAATGATGCTTCATTAGTTTCAAGGAAAGATTAAGTAAGAGGGTGCCAATACTAAAATCAACATTATTTTATGGATGAAAGCAGCATATCATCGGGGCACTGAGCTTCCTCAGACCCCACACAGCTTCCTGGGGCCCATGTTTTGTTCTGTTTTGAATGAACTGTCCTTCTCTGGATTCCTCTACCCTCCCATATGGGCTTCTGAGCTCCTGTCCCGTCACCTGAGCAAGAAGCCTGCCTCACTGCTCACCGGCTATTGTCATTTCTAACCCTTGGCTCCCATCCCTGAAAATGTGATAATGATTACACCACTTTCATAGGCTGTTGTGAAAATAAGGGAGATAATATAAGTAAAGAGCAATTAGAGCCCAGGCCGTAACAAGAACTCGACGTAAGTGAGCCGTTCTCATTAGCTAGTTTTGCATGTTGCCGTTTCTCTCCATCTGTGGCATTTATGAAGTACTAGCACTTCTCAAAATTGATTCTTAAGTGGATTCTATTTTGGAGAAACAGTGTTTGTAACCACAAATCAACCATTATGCACCTGTTCAGAACATCCAAAATGTTCTAGTATTTTCTAGAAAAGGCACTTTCTGGAAATATTTAAAGTTTACATACAAGTGTATTTATATTGTTTCATGCCACACTTTGATCAAACTGTTCAAGTCTGATCTCTATAATATCTTATATTTATTTTAAAGATCCTTGAAAACCACAGGGATCTGAAATAAATTACTTCTGCCAAGCTAACTGGATTTTGCCACAGAATGACATACGTTACGGGTATTTTTCCAGCTCGTGGGTGTGAGCGGGAATAAAGGGACAGAGGATGCACAAAGGCAGTTCCATCTCTCAGAGGAACAGTTTGTCTCGAAACCCGTTGTCATCTGACCATCTTTGTCACTGTCTCTCTTCGCTCCCATAGCATCCAGAACACACATAAATGTAAGAGAAAAGCTGAGGCAGTGAAACAATACCTTTTACTCCTTTCAGGAAAACTTGAAACAAGTTTAATTCAATGCTCGATGCCAGGTTTAATCCTAGTAAAGAGACTTAATAATAAAATCACCCATTAAAATAACCACCCATCTCTTTTCTCCAAGCTGCTGTCACGAATATATTTGGTATGATTTCAGCCCAGTTTCCACAGCCGATGTTCATACCTGTAGGCGCTACAAGAATCAAGGCTCTAGGTGAGTGCCTGGTGCCTGCTGAAATGCATCTTCGTCAGACCATCTCTGCTGCAGGGATCAACTTCATATCCTTTATGACCGAGCACCAGGCCATAAAGACAAGTGAAAAGCGAGCAACAAACTATACGGGGACCTCAGGCAGCCCCCATCTCTGTCTCACAAACCATTCTTGTCTCTACGTATTAAACTGCTCAAACTTTTCCAGTTTATGATATACCCGTAACACTAACCAACTTCAACAGCTCACATTGAATTGATATATGCTCATTAAAACTAACAATATATTTCTCACAGTATACTCAATATGGTTTCCTAGTATCATGTAGCCAGTTTTATGATAACAGTGCTTTATTTTCTCAAAAAAAAATGTGACTTTGGGTGTTCCACTATTAAAGAAACCACAGAAAGAATCTTCTAAATATTGTTCAGGGACATTGCAATCATGCTATTCAAACTTCATGTTCTAAATGATCTTAAATGTCATATGAACTGCATTTAGTCCTGGGAGGAATAGCTCTGGCATCTGTGTAAACGCTGCCGTGGAAATGGAGTAGACCCCAGGGTGAAAGCTCCAAGTGTTCCAGGAGCCGTGAACTCAACAGAATGTTAACAAAGATGGAAAACAGGAAAGAACTGCAAATGGGCTTAATAACTAAGACAAATGACAAAGTTCAAAAAGCAAATGAACCAATATGTACACAGATAGAGGCTAACATCCTACCGAACATATTTGTGACAGCAGTTTCGGAGCTATTATAGAAGTTCTAGTTCTGTCCCAGGTGACTTCCTCACCATTGCACTATGAAAATCTAGACCAGCATTCCTTGACACTTTTCAGTTTAAGAAAAAAATACAAATAAATAAAATGAAAAATAAATAAAACTTTTTTAAAAGAAAGGAAAAACCTGTAAATTCCTTACCGGTTCAACTGCTTCTTTCATGATAAGGGCAGTTTATCATGTTGGAGTTAGAAAGAACTGGATTAGAATCCTGGCTCTGCTACTCAATTGCTGTGTGATCTTGGGAAAATCACCTAAACTCTCTGAACTTCACCTTCTTCCGAATGATGTGAAGAGTAAGTGAAAGAATGCACCTGTGATACCCAGCAGAGTCTCTGATACATGTAAAAAGCGGTGCATGGTGTTATTCTAAAGCTGTTAAGGTAGAAAAGAAAACACTGGCTAGAGTCCAGTAAAGTAGACAAAATACTATCTTATGTAGGGAACATGGAGTAGAAAATAAACTGAATATGACTCACTGAGGTATTGCTGTTTTCTTAGATATGAGTTACTAGACTTCTGACGTATAAACATGCATCTCGTAGGGTTAAAATGATCTCTCCACTGATTAAATGGCGTGTTTGTATTGTAATGAGTTATCTCATTAAGACAGAATGGTAGAGAAGAAATGAGGCTCTAGAAGTTGGCCCAAATTTTAGTCTTGACTTTACCATGTAAGGACAAACTTTTAAGTTATGTAACTTCAATGCCCCAATTACCTCAAGAGGAAACACGCAGAGGGATAAAATCATTTCTAACGTAGCTTCAAGTTCGTTTTTCAAACGGCATGCATCGTGACACCCTGCTTGCTCTGGCCACATGCTGCTAAGATCTGTTTCTGCAGTTTTTAATGCAACAAAAACAATTTAAATAATGAAAACAAAAACACACTCGGAAAAGTTAAAGCATTGGGGAAAGGATGTTTGTCGCACAAAAGGCTGAATAATGATTTTAAATGTCAATCATATAAAGTGTAACCAGGAAAACAATGTTGAATAATTATTCTCCATTTTCATTACTTCAAAATTAAACTATTTAAATGTCTTCAAATGTTTGGATGCACATAAACTTGCTGTTATAAAAGGATTAAATAATGGAATAATTCATAGCCTCTTCATACTCAAACATTTTAAAATAATGCTAGATTTCTATCATTGTTAACTTATTAACTAATCTAAATGATTAAAAAACAAAATCATGTCATGTGTGTTTAACAGACACATGAATTACCTTTAGTTTTTTTTTCTTTAATCTCTTATGGAAATTTATTTAATGCAACCACTATTTTAATATCACCAATAAAATTTAAACAGATATATCTCAAACAGGGGTTATATAGAGTGGACATACTTTGATAGTCTACACAATGTAACATTTACATTAGAAAATGGAATCTCCTTTAGCTCACACTCCATATATTTAAATTTTGGGACAGGACTCCAAACTTAATTGGGCTGATTTTAGCATGGTAAACAGATGTTAAGATAATTACTAAAATGCCATTTAATAAATATCTTAACTTTCTCTTCTCCGTTTCATTGAGTCATTCGTTTCCTCATCTACATTCACGCTGTCCTGCTTAATAGTGCAGCATCAGTAAAACAGTAGTTAAGAGACATTTTTCCATTTATTAATAACATTTTCTCTAGATTATGGCCAAAGTTTTCAGAATGAACCCAAACTAACATCTCCTGGGCCCTCAGTTTTACTGAAAAAGCATCGTATATTCAAAAGTATGTATGTAAAGAAATGCATGTTTTGAATAAAATGAACACCCATGAATCCATCAAGCAGGTAAAAAGTTACATTATGAGTAATTCAGAAAGTCCCTGTGTTCCTCCACCCAACAACAGTCCTTGCTTTTCTTTATACATTTATCACAAATTTATGTCCATTATTATTTAAATTTGCTGGGGTTTGCCCATTATACAATTATAAAGTCTGAAATTTCTTTTTGGTGGCGCAATATTACATTTTTAGATTGATCCATGTTGATCTGAACACCTGTATTTCATTCATTTTTACTGCTCTAGAGTAATCAATCGACTGGATAACCATAAACTATAGTTCAATGTACTTAGTCTGATATTGTTTCAATTTTTTCTTATCAGTAACATGGCAACAAATATTATGTTTCCTTATGCAAAACTCATTAGGATATGTACCTGAGTGAAAACTCTAAATTATAGTGTATGCACATCTCCAAGTTTACTAAATTATTACCATTTTCCAGCATACATTTCTATCAGAATTGGGCAAAAATTCCTATTGCTCCACATTCTCACCAATAAATAGTATTGTTAATCTGTGAAATACTTCACTGTGCCTTTAATTTTTATTTCCCCAATTAATAATGGGGCTGATGTTTTCCTATTATAATGGTCCATTTGTACCTCCTCTTCTGTGAAATGTCTATTCATCTGTACCCATCATTTCTTCTGTCTGGTTATTTGTTATTCTCATGTTGGTCGACAAAATACTCTGTATATTCTGGATATTTCTAGGCCTTCAATTTTATGTTCTGGGGGGTTTTTTTGCTTGTTTTTAATTTTTTTGTTAATTCTCACTGGAGGATATTGATTTTTACAGAGAGTGGAAGGGAGGGAGGGTGAGAGAGAGAGAAACATTGATGTGAGAGAGACACATCAATTGGTTGCCTCCTGCACAAGCCCCAACTGGGGTCAGGATCAAACCTACAACCCAGGTATGTAACGTAGCCTTGACCAGTAATCAAACCAGTGACCCTTCACTGCACAGACTGATGTTCTAACCACTGTACACTGGCCAGAGCTCAATTTTATGTTTTAGTATGCAACAAACCAAATAATAAAACTGGGTTTTCCTTTTTGCTTTGTTGTCAAGTCAGAGGGCGCAGGCTGGGCTGAGGGACCCCTCCGAGTACACGAATTTTAATAATAAGTATCAAGAGAAAAGCTTCCTCACTTTTATTTTGAACACTTGACCCGGTTCCCCCACACCTAGAAGTGAAGGCGGCATAAGAAAGCAGCCGAGCTTGGGGTGCTTGAACACATCGATTCATAGCAGCCTTTGAAACCAAAGGCACAAATGACAGAGCATGTAGGCAACTGTGTGTACTGAGCTCACACAGACTAATCAGGCTGCGGTCATTCTCTTTCCTAACAGAGCTACATCCGTGCAGCCCTTTATGTATTTTCAATGGACTTTAGATACTTCATATGATGCTCAGGCAATTCTAAAGGGCGGAGGACACTTTAGAACTAAGAAAGTAAGGGGACGAAGGAACTTGCCCAAAACAGAGCAAGCTTGGCGGCAAGTCCAGGCCCCTATCCTTGGTCAGGGATGCTTCTCAACATCGCGCTGCCTTCCAAGGTAAGGAATAAAGGCTGCCAAGGCTGGGGGACGGCATCCTTTTAAAGGCTGACTCCTCCGTGTAGTCAGCTTGTACCTAATGCTTATAAAAGGATTATGTTGTACTCAGAAAGAATTCTGGTGTGAACGAGGTCCGTGACAGGTGCTAAAACAGAATTAGACGGCAGTCATCTGTGTGTCCCCCACACCATTCGTTCCCTACTGGGTCAAGACTTCCCTGCCCGGCTGGCGTGGTTCAGTGGTTGAGCATCGACCTATGAACCAGGAGGTCAGGGTTTGATTCCTGGTCAGG